GCCTGCAGGGCTCCGGCTCCCCCCGCTGCTGATGCTGAGGACGGAGTAGGTGCGCGCTGTGCCGGGCTGGGTGTGCAGCCAGTCCTCGCAGGCGGCACAGCCGCGGGGCGCGGGCTCGGCGCGGGGGGCCAGGGCGGCGTGCAGCCGCTCTTCGCAGGTGGGACACACGTGGCAACTCGTCGTGTGGCTGCGGACGAGAGAGAAGGTGGGGAATCCCTCCTGCCGAGCCCCGAGTGCAGCCGGCGAACACCAAAACCCTCCCGTGAAGCAGCCGCCACCTCTTCAGCGAGCGGCGTGTTCATCGCTGAGGCAGAGGCATTTCTAGAGCCAAAAACTGCATAGAGATGTGCAGCACTGGTGAGGCTGGGCAAGGTTTGTAGCTAGAAATAACACTGGTGAGGTCCGTGGCTGTAGTGAGAAGAGTGGCACAAGCTTTTGGGCAGATGAACAAGCAAACTTACCAAAAATAGGAACGCCACGGCACGGGCTGCTTCTTGTCATCCGTTATCTTTGGGTGCATCAGTGGATCCCTTCCCTTCGTCTTCTGCTTTTGTAAAGGCACATTATAAGAGCTGAAGAGACAGAAAGGAGAAAATTCATAGAATAAAAAGCGACTCAGCAACACGGAACGATAGTACTAACCATGCAAATATATACGGAAGGTAATTACCCTCACACAGACCTTACACGGAAACACCCCGATCCTTAGGGATAGTTGGGATTGGTGAGGGGCAGCTTTGGCTCACTTACTCTTTTTTACTGTTTTTCCACCTCATGATGACACAAGCTAGAATTCCACAGGCTGCTAGGACTAGGATAGCTAACAAACAAAGAAGCAAAATTAAAAAAACCAAACCAAAACAAAACAATTTGGTATGTAATTTAAGTGAAACACTGCAGTTTGGGAAAAGACTGGCCGCAAAATTCTCTGCTCTGGGGCTGCCCATCGCCCCCCAGAGGCTCCTTCTCAGCCAGAATACCGCAAACCCCAACTCGTGTCTCCGAGTGCAGCGCAGCGACCACTAAGCGTGGTGCCGCGTGGATCTTCTTAAGGGTGGGACCTTCGTTTATTTGTTTTTATAGGCAGCGACTGTTTATTTTGTATTTTAAACATAGTCATAATATTTAGCACTCGATCTCTTTTGCAACAAGGATGTTCCAGGCTTCGCTAATCTCTTCTCTTTCAATGCCTGCCAATGCCCTTTAAAGCAACTTTATCAATTAAAGAGCGACAGAATGTACAGGTTTTGGTTGGCTTCTTACATTGGCTTCTTTCATTTCATCCCCAATTGACATACTGTTTTGTACTAAGACACGCGCATCTGCTGCTTGCAGTGCTGCTGCGTTACCCAACAGCAGAGACCCCCCGAATCCTGACACTCAGTACGAGGGGCACTAAAATGAACAAACCGAAACCACTGACTCCAGCTATTTAACAGCGAATAACAATTTTGCATTAGGAAAGTATATTTTCAATTTTAAATCACTTACCAATGCAAATAAGGATGAAGATATTTGCTAGAGAGAGAAAATAAGGAAATTGATGTTAAAAAAAATGAAGCCGACAATGCTGATAACTAAACAGGGAAGTTCCTGAATTGATGCCCACAGAAAAATATCATTCAAATTCAGTTATAACTTCTGCTGAGAAGACAAAACACTATAAACCAATCTGTCATTAACTACTACACACATCTTTATGCTCCTTTTCAGTCCCTCACCCCACCTCTCCCCACTGATGGAGCGGAGGTCTGTCGCTCAAAGCTACCCCCATCCTCAGCCCCATCCAAGTGCAGCCAAGATAACGTCAGTGGTTTCTACCAGGATGCTCGGCTGCGGGGAGGGAGATTCAAGCAAAAATCCTTCCCCGTATCATGTCAGCTAAGGAGTCACACAGCTGGGAGCAGAGAGAAAATGGAATTAGACCTGTGTGAACCCCTTAGGAACTGGAAGATGGACCCACCAAAAGAAGAGCAGAACAAGAGCAGAGATCCAACAGCACGTGGAGTCACAGGTGCCCAACGCGGGGGCAATCACAGCAATTAAAATGACCCTGAAGCAGTAAGCGTCTCCTGAGCTCTTACCTAGCCAGGGAGGATTCTCTACTATATTGTCTTCCCACAGTTCAGTTTGGTTTGCCGCTGCTGTAGCGCTAACTACAGAGAGAAAAATAAGGGAAAACCACTCAAAAATGTATTTTAGATAATTCTCCATTTATACACAATATATAGAATACTTCAGTGAGGAGTAAATGTAGAGTGGGCAGGTGGCCTCTGACCTGTGCATCTGTGGCTCCGACAGCGAGAGCTGTGGAAGAGTCACCCAGGACCTCTTGGTGACACTACGCGCCCCACAGACAGAGGGGAGTCTGCTGTCCCCCTCCGCCGTATTGCCTGGCTGTTGCTGGACACTACATATAAATGCAGCCTGAGGGTTAGCCCATCAGCTTTGCAGCAACTGAAATGCTTCACCCATCGTTTATCAACATTCTGCCTGTTCCTCTTGAAGGGGAAAACATAAAACCGTGTAGGACTGTGCCCCCGTTGCTCTTCAGCACAGCTGGGCACCAGCAAAGCAGAGACCTGCCAACCGGCCCTGCCGAGCGCGGGGAAACGACCCTACGGGAATGCCTGTCCAGACTGGGGCCCTCCCCTCTCCGAGAGAAGGCCATTAGGACTAATTAGCTGCGCAGCAAGAAAAAATACTCCAGAACAACGCTCACCCCTGCATTCGGGAGGAGACCCGCTCCAGACGCCGATGCCGCCGTTCTCCGTTGTACAACGCAGAGTTTCGTTTCCCACGAGCCGGAGCCCAGGGTCACACGTGTACGTCACGACTGAGTCGTACACATACTCCTCCATACCGTCAGCGTCGTGCTTCCCATCGGGGATAGCTGGAGGCGGAGGACAAAAAATAGCTGGGGGAGAAAAAGAAAAGAGTTGAGGAGGTGACACCTGGGCTGCTCTTCTCCACGATGTGAAGAGAGGAAAACCCAAGGGCACACAGGCTCACATCGCACCAGTCACAGGAGCAAGGGCTGAAATGGGAGCACTGGTCCCCCTCCCGAGACACGGTTACTTTTAGGTGCCTCGCAGCCTGCTGTCCTGCGCACACAGTGGCAGCGTCAGCCCGCAGGGACAGCGGGGCCGCTGCGCTGCTCGTTTGTGTCATCTCTCACATGCGGAAGGCACCAGCGACGCCAGTGGCTACTCCCTGCGTCCATCCCACCAGCTCCCTCCTTTCCAGAGATACTTACCTGACTGAATTGAGAAAATATTAGTAAAATCAACATACGATTCGGTATTTCTGAGTTGGCATATTTGCTGTTTCCAGTCACGCGCTGGATAACCTCACTTACCCCGACAAGCTGGAAGTGGACTCCAGGCAACTTCACCTCCACTGAGGGAACACCGGATGAGATGCGACGCTCCCTTTAACACGTACCTGCAGGGGTAAAAGGCACACCAACAAATCAGTTTGTTGTCACCAACCAAGAACATGTCACCCCAGAGAGGTGCTGAGGACGCGACAGGCAGAGCCCCTTGTCCCAGCTCGCACACCAGTGACTCTGGCCAGGCAACTGGGAAGCAGTGGGCAGCTGGCTTCACACTCACCCGCGGTTACAAACTACATTGGCTTTTGCACCAAACAGATGGCCATTTGCAATAACTTTGCCATGTTCTGGATTTGCTGGAATACCACAAGATTTCCCTAAAAAAGAATATTATCCTTAGGACACTACGAGGACGGAGAAAAACCCCACAGATGTACTTCTCCTGACAGTACGGCAATGTCAAATCAGGCATCTGATGGTATTTCACACTAAACATCGTTAAAGATAAGCAAACCTAAAACACAAACCAGACACGGCACTCAGAACGCAGCGCTGCGGACACAGCTGTGGGAGTAGGGTGGAAAAAAAGAAATGACACAGAGACACTCACTCCGACATAGCTCGGGGACTTCTGACCACGTTAAATTGTCAAGACAAGTGCTGGTGGGGAGCTGCTCTGTGGTACTCTCGTAGCCTGGGCGACAAACATACTTCACCATGACATCAACAGTATAAAAATTCTGCACTTCATCTTCTTGTGATATTCTAGCAAAATGCACCCGCGGTGGGCTGGGACAGCTACCTGGCGACAACAAAGACAACCAAAGCCTACAGTTACAAAGCAAAAATAACAATATTTTGCATTCAACTCTGTATAAACGTAATCATTCGCAACCACAGCGCCTACCTCCCCTGCCAATTCCACTGCAGAAGCGTTTGGGGTGGGGAAGTGCAGGCAGTTCCCGCTGCGGAGGTTTGCCAATCCCCCGTGCCAAACCTCCCCCCGTAGCTACCAGCTGTGCCGGCGCTCGGCCGCTGTAGTTCGGCCCCTCTTTCCTCTGCTTCCCCCACCTACTGATCCATCTCTCTCAACGCACAAGCGCCAGCACGTGGTTCCGACGGACTGAGCAGAGTTCGGAAGAAGGGACAGTAAGGGATTCTCTGACTGGCAACTCCATCGTGCGTCACTTCGGATGAGGAAACCCTTAAAGCAGCGATTGCTAAAGCAGCAAGTGTTTCCACAAGCAGCGTGCTTCTCTGCGCAACTCATTTCGGAGAAAGTGCAATACTTACGACCACAGAACTCCGGGAGGTTGGACCACTGGGAGTTTGCAAGGCACTGGATGGTATCTGACAGCCAGGGGCGTTTAGTGTAACCCGTAACGCATCTGTACGTTACTTTGGAGCTGATGCTGAAGCTCTCCCAGTGTTTAGTGTCCTCCGGAGGTTCCGCGTGCCTTATAGTTGGCAACGGCCCACAGTCACCTATAGCAAAATAAACGCGGGGTTCAGCGGCGTTTCTCCCGGAGCTCCCTGAGCAGGGCGCAGCGCAAATGCCCTCAACGAGCCCGCAGGAGAGCGCGGCAACATGGACCCGCACCATGCACCCGCAGCAACAAGCACGCGTGGGGCACAGGGAGCCCACCCTGCACCCCCCACCCCCCCCATCGGCTCACC